ACCTGGAGGCGGATCCGACGGTCTACAGCCGAAGTCCACATCGTTACGGACCCTGCAAGGGAAGCCCTCACAGCAGCCTCTACCCTCTAAGACATCAAAGGGGGGGACAATCCATCCTTCTCATGGCAAAGCAGGCCAATCTGACAAGGATGACTTGGTTGTCCCTCCTGTACTACCTTTCAAGAAGACCCAGATGGCAGATCGCTATCCCAAGGGCGGTACAAATAGAGGACGCCCACACTGGAAGCATCTGAAGCAGATTCTGCAAGCTGAAAACTACCATCTCTTGCCAGCGAATGAGCCAACCTGTGAGTCCCCCTCCTCCTCCTGCTGCAGATTTTGTCTGCCGACCGCCCCTCTTGCCCACCTGCCTTCGTGGCTGCATGTGCCTGCACATCGTCGTTTGGCTTTGCCCTGGCCATCTGCACTTCTCTGACTAGCTCTTTCCTGTTCATCTGCTTTTTGCCTACCTTCTCCACCCGAATAGAACGCCCAGTAATCATGGCCGTATCTAGACTGAAATCTCTGCCAAATACAGCTATGATGACCGGGCGTTTTATTCCGGTCAAGACGGTAGTTTATGCTGTCTGTGTTTAACTTTGTGAATATTTCTGGCCCCTCCCTGTCTAATGGCTTGTGTTTGCTAGCTGATGATTAGCCTGCCTGTCTCTGCATCATCATGTCTGCCTGTGCCCGTCTCGGCGTCCCCCCCTGCCTGTAAAGGTCTGCGTCTGCCTGCTTTTCAATCCATCTCAAACTCTCTACTCCTGCCGTCGTTGCTCTGTTTGGTTATTTGGATATCCTATCCCTTCAAGCAGCATTGGCCGCTGGGGGGGAGGTCCATGACGCGCTGTGCGCCGGATTCGGGTTGAAGTTTTGGTGAGGGGTGGCGGATGAAGGCGATCGAGGGCGGGGGAGTGTGCAGAGGGGTGCGTGTACCGAAATGTTCACAGCACGCCAGTAAACGAGAGCGCGCGCCCCGGGGGCGGGGCACACGGCTAGCGTTGATACGGACAAACATCTTGGAGGCGAGCCATCCGATATGTGGGCAGCTTTTTTTTGGGTTGTGTTTTTGCCGGTTGGCCGTCGTTTTGTGTCCCCCTTCGCCTTTTTTTTCATTTCTCGCGCGGCTGTCGTTTTGTGCCCCCCGGTAGGGCGTCGTTGTTTCTGCGGACGAACATCTTGGAGGCGAGCCATCCGAATTGCAGTGTGAGGTCACAGCATTTGTTATTTCTGCGGGCGTAGCCCGCACCGTGGGCACTTAGCTAGTCTGATTGGTTGCCCATCAGTGTGTTCAGTGTGCTGCCTTTCCACCCTGACTCCAACTCAACTCCTCCTCCTCATCCTCCTCTCCTCCTCTCCTCCTCTCCTCCTCTCCTCCTCTCCTCCTCTCCTCCTTTCCTCCTCTCCTCCTCTTGCGCTTCTCCTCCGGTCCTCCTCTCCTCCTCTTTCGCTTCTCCTCCTCTCCTCCTCTCCTCCTCTTTCGCTTCTCCTCCTCGTTATTGTCACCTTGTCGCGATGCACATTCGAACTTGGACTATTGGATGGTCCCTTCGCTCCACTGTGCACAGGTGGAAGGTTTTGATCAGACTCGAGTCACTCGACGTGTTGGATGCATGGTGGTGTCGTTTCTTTCTCGCCGCTTGGCGGACATATGGCCGTGTGCTTCGCTTTTGATGTTTTGGAGTGGTTGGTTCTGTCTGCTTGTGTGCAAAGAGGTCGATGGTACCATGGGCTGGTCCTGGTACCTTGGGCTCCTCATGTCCGTGGATGCTTTGCGTTTCTTTTCTGGGCCGCTGGCGTACATAATGTCTCTACGCCTTCCTGCCCTCTCTCCTCGGCTCGCTCATCACACCCGTGCTCTCATCCATCTCACCGCCGCCGCCTCCTCACCGTCACCTTCTTCCATACGACCTCATGATCTCTCCGCCATGCGCACGCCTCCACTTCCTTGTTCCTCCTCCTCCTCCTCCTCCCCCTCCTCCTCCTCCTCCTCCCACACATGGCCAGAGTGCGTAACCCACCCTTCCCACCTCACATAGCGTCAGAAGAAGAAAAAAAGGGTTCCACACTGATCTGCCCAGCATGCACACCACTCCCCACCGGCCGGTCCACTCTGCCGGGACCGCCATGGTGCAGTAACCAGAAAGTGCCGCACGCCACGCGGGTCCCTCTCAAGTCTGAATGAAACTGCAGCAACTGTTTTTGTAAATGATTCAAATTTCGAACAGGAGGGGTGCATCCTAAGCAAAAGAAAACTGAGAAAACTTAGAAAAAGCAGTTTAGTGATTGAGCCTTTCTTCCAAATTCAGGTTCAGTTAGAAGAGGATGTTGTGAATTAGTAAATCGCAAAAATTCAGAAAATAATAAAATAATAAAAATTTAAAAAATATCAAAATTTCGAGTTTTTTTTCTTTCTTTCTATTTTCTCAAAATTTCAAACTCTTCCCCCCTCCTCTCCCCCCCCCCCCCCCCCTCTTCCCCCCTCCTCTCCCCCCCC